GTGTTGCCAGAGATGGCAGACGCCTCACTGGGGTGCAAAACACACCGGCCGAGCCGAGCCGAGCCGTGCCGAGCCGAGCCGAGTTTTAGTAGTTGCCCGTTTTTTGGTGAAAGGGCGTTTATGCCTGCTGATTCCCATATAAGTAGCAAACATCCTCAGAAAAATACTGCTTCCTGCTTAACCTGATTACCGCGTTAATGGGGTGCCAACAATATCCCAAACTAAATATTCATTTGCGCTGCGCCCATTTCTTGTGTATGCGCAGCGCAAATGAATATTTAGTTGGAGATATTGCTTAGGACGTAGTTTTGCATCTCTGTGAAATTTCAGCTTCCTGTCTTGTCGTTTTCCGGCTAGCAACTGTACGTAAGAGCCAAGAATGCATTAACGATGATTTTAAAAAGGGAGTGCCGCATTTGGAATGGGAATGTGCTCCAAAAATTTCAGCTTTCTAGCTTCTCAGGTTGCCGAATTGGAAATGGGTGATAAAATGTGGAGGCACGCACACACACGCACACCCATACAAACACAGACAACCTTTTGCCAATATGCGTTTTTGCATTTGCATAAATGTGTAAAAAAGCATAAAGAGATCTATTTCGCAGATATTGCAGCGGTCTATGAATTACTCCCACCCAGCTTGTTGTAGTAGCTAGTAGCAGTGAAATACGTGATCGTCTCCCGCTAGAAAATAAGCGCAAAATTTGCATTTTGGTAATTCAAAAGCCGTGGGGGTTGCAGATATTCGCAGTTTGAAAAGCTCTATGAGTTATGGTGCGATTACTACAGCACGTTGGTTGGGACGTGCAGTGCGCGCTGTGATGCTCGTGTGCTGAGGGGAGATTACCACGGTTGCTTATTGCTAGTTATCGAAGCTGATAATCCTGACCAGGTCAGTATTACCTCCTTTATCATACAGTTGTATTTGACATTTGTGATTTTCATTTTCTAAAACGATCTCTTTTTTCTTAACAAATTCTTTTTCATGTGTTTGTGTTTTTATCATCTGTTTGTGGTACATTCGTGTTACATGATACTGATTTTCTAAGGTTATATTTTTGTGTTTCATAGTATTT